TCCATGGTTCTTTATATTCATGTTAAATATGATTTTTATTTGGGGAAGAGAGGGTATTAATTTTGTTCTTCAGAATAACTATAATCTCTTGAGCAGTAAAACCTTGTTAATAGTCATGCAGCTAATCCTCAAATAATAATTCCCTTAAACAGACTGACTTCACAACAAAAATATCTGCTTAAGTGCAAATGATTGTAACTTCCTGTGTCTCAACCTGTGAAGTGTACCTAAAATCCAGTGTATAGATAACTGGAAGTTGTTTAGGAACTTTTCATTATCCTCAAAAAGTCACAATCTACCAATTAAAAACAAAAAATGCAAATATTTTTAAAAGTACTGGAGCGAAGAGTTCTAGAAAACTCAGAAATTAAGTTTGGAAGAGGAAAACTATAGCCACGAATGAAAAAGAAAAAAAACACAGAAAACACTAATGCTTAATGACTGCACAGAGCTATTTGAACAGTCAATAGAGGCAAAAGAATTCAGTAAATATTTTTGTTCTGTGCTTGGGAAAAAGGCAGATATGATGTTCACATCATCGGATGTACAATAACACACACTCTGTTTTCACAATAATCAAGGAAAAGCTTAAACAGTACTTAAATTTGGCATTTTTAAGTCAGAGGCCCAGATAACATGCATCCATGAGTTCTGAAAGAGCAGACCAGAGAATTATTGTTTGTCATTCATACAGATATTTTTTTTTATATAGTTCTTGGAAAACTGAAAAAGGAAAACAAAAAGAGACTTGAAAAGCACTATGGAACTGCTTTCTGAGAAATAAACATAATCCTCTCAGTCTGACATTAAGCTTGAGCAAAATATTAATCACCTCTATAATGTTATTAAATGTAAAGGATAGTAATTAGTGATAATGAGTCCTGGTTCTTGGAAAATAAGTTTTATCGTGTTAATTTTCATATTCTTATTGTAGTTGAGAGTTGGTATAACAAAATAGAGTTAAAATTAATACCGCTGTGTAACACAGTTGGCTTTAAACTTGCGTGATCCTTTTTTTTAGTCCACCAGGATGACACAAAGTCAATACAGTAGCCATGAAGCGTATAGCAACTGCCTGATAAGTTCCATGTAATTGTAAATGATTCAGTGGTGTTGCCTCGAGATCAGATTTTGGTCTTGTTTTATTTAGTTTTTGATAGTGAGGTAGGGCTCCGACAGGGAAGTCTCTAAGGCCAGAGCAGCTGGCGTCCATCTTCCCATGGGGCAGGGATATCTCAGCTGCATAACAAGCTACTGGGTTGTCCATGCAGTGAAAACTAGTGAACTCGAGGGAGGAAGTGTGATAGATGGATGAAGATGTCGTCTCAGGCTAAGCCATCAGGTATCCATTTATCAAGAAATCCTTAGATAACAAATTATTTGTGTTAATATTTGCTAAAAGCACAGAGTGGTGAGTGAATGCTATTTAATGAAGAGGACAGGTGTCTGTTGTGAAGCAGACTGGGTCACACCTCTGTTTCTGGTTTAACTATGTGTGTTGGTACAGCCAGAGGGGAGGTTGTTCTCCAAGACTGAAGGTTGTAAGCTGTTTTCAGAAGGTGTGGGAACGTATCCTAGAAAGCAGTAAAATGGAAAAAAGGGAGTGTTTTAATGAATCCTGGTGATTGATTATTCAAGAAATGCCTTAATTACATGAATCATAGAATGGTTAGGGTTGGAGGGGACCTCAAAGATCATCTAGTTCCAACCCCCCTGCCATGGGCAGGGAAACCCTCCACTACACCAGGTTGCCCAAAGCCTCATCCAACCTGGCCTTGAACACTTCCAGGGATGGGACATCTACAACTTCTCTGGGCAACCTGTTCCAGTGTCTCACCACCCTCAGAGTGAAAAATTTCTTCCTTTTATCTAGTCTAAATCTGCCCTCTTTCAGTTCAGGTACATGAGATCCAGGTACCTGTTTCATCCATAGTGGTTGGTGTCACTTATAAGCATGACACTGTGAGTTTGGTCCTCAGGGTGAAGCAGTTCTATGAGCTGTTGTTGCTTTTACCCATCAAGTTAATCGCAGTGGACTGAGAGCTGCAACTTTGATGAGGACCATGCTGCACATCAGCGTACACCTCTGTCCTTACCTTTCCGAGGCTGCCAGTGGAGTCTGCCTTCTCTTCCCACTGCGGGAACGAAGGGCGTTCTCCTCCCTGTGCAGTCTACGGAAAACCAATTCCCTCTGGAAAGTCAATTTAAATGGGTGAAGCCTGTCCTTCTCTTTGTTGCTCCATCATGGCATTGTAGGGGGACTGTTTGGGCATCTGGTTTCTTTTCGGGGCCTGAATCAGCCTTGTATTTTCTTGAGTATTGCATCTGTTGCCTCTTTCAGCCAGCGTGAAATCCTCTCACAAAAAATAAGCTCTTGAAACAGAGATGTGTGAGATTTTTCCTCATGGCTGCTGTGGTCAAAAAGGGACTTTCACTTTCTTTGCACTGGCCATAGTTTTGTTTTTCCAGAGGTGGAGAGGCCAGCAGTGGATACTCACACGGCCCCATTTCAGGTGCCGGTAGTAAATCTTTTAGTACTTTTGCAGTGTTTTTTGTAATTTCTGTCGCTCTGTTTTGCACACTGTCAATTACAACATTATTCTTTAATAGCTCTCTTGCATTGTTATTAATAGCAAGTTATTCCAATTCACAGTTAAAAAAAAAAAAAGGCAGTGGTCTGTTAAAGACAACTTTAAGTGTTCTGCCCATCTGTTTCCTGTGCCACTTGAATTACGAGCGTTTTCCTATCTTAGTTTTGCTTTTCTTTGGCCCCTTTCCTCTCCTGAAATTTCCGCACAAGGTTTTAGTAACTTAGTAGGAAATTGTGGTGTACATCTGGTGGTATCCTTCAAGTGCTGGGTTTATGAGATATCTCTGCTCATCTGATCTTTTCCTTTGTACTGTCTGCTTTCTTCTTCATCTTCTTTGCCTTTTCAGACCTGTAGTTTCTGTAAGCGTACAGGAGTTTCTCATTTCTCTATTGTCCCCCTTCCCTGAAGACCCCATGCATCCTGGCTTTGCCATACTTTTGCTGTGGTGATTATCTTGTTGTGACTACAGTAACTTAAGTCATGCTGGTTCTGAAAAATGTCCCTTTTTCTTCAGGTTCTATCTTTTTCATCTTCCTTGCCTCAGAAATTGCCTGAGAACTGTTTATCAGTTCAAACTGAATTTTGTCATAGTTCTCTTTGATTTTTAATACTGTGCATTTGCTTTTCCTGGTTTTATTTTTCTGTTTGGTAATGCAAAGAGATTATAGTTAATTCTAATACCTGTTTTTCAGATTATAGTTTCACTTTGTATAGATGGCCTGAATCTCAGATTCATGGAACCATCATCAATAAATTTCTTTGGGTGATAGTGATCTTATATTGCCATGTTTTTTTTCTACATGTTTGGGTTTTTTTTTGTGGAGAGCCAATAGGGTCTTTGAAGAACTACATCGGACATTAAGCATTGGTCAGTGACGTTTCTACCAAGTTGGATGATGCTTAGTCAAAGCTTCCACATTGCTCGTTCAGTTTCTTTGAAGTTGCAATCTGTTCTGGCATTAGGCTCACCTAGCACATGGAGTAAGCTGTGTTTGGTATTTTGACAGGCATACTTTGGAGGCAGTTGTTAAAAATGTCTCTCTCTGTGTATTGCTCTGATCTTCTGTCAGAGAAGAGCAATGTATGAGTTAGAAATAGCTGGCATAAGTTCTGAACTGAATGAGTGACTCTGTCCTGATAAGCACCAGTTTCTCAGGATGCTCCCAGACTGGGGTAGGTGAGATGCTAGCTCGTTTTCTTTAAAGTGTTAGTCGTAACAGTCAGTCTGATCTGATCTCAAGCCCCAAGTCCATCTTACTCATGGATTGTTGTAGCTTGATTTGGAGCAGTGCTCTCACATGGCAGCATCCGGCTCTATGATGTTTGTCAGTGCCAATACCACAGTTTCTGTGGTTTAGAGACAATCTCTTTTACTAAGAGTTTCAATATGTCATCTGTGTTTTCTGCTCAAGACTGTTGTTACCAGAACAACTTTTTTGTAACCAGTGAATTTTATGAAGATACATGATGAAATTATGCATTAGAAACATCCCATTTTGCGGGACGTTGAGAGGCGATAACAACAGCTAGTGAATCAAGCGAGGCTGGAAGAAGGATCTGAATAGTGTTTGGTTGGAAGAGTCTTGAAGTAGTTGTCATTTTTAAGAAACAAATGTAAGGGATGGTTTTGTTAATAAGTACATTCCTGGTGATAGAGACTGGAAATTGAATACAGACTAAGCTCAGAATGCAGATTTTTTTTAGGTCATTCATTATAGCAAAAGTGAACGCACATTCAGTGGGTTATCCATGTCTGCAAATCTCCAGAGAAAGGCTGCAAATAACAAGTGAGGTTCTCGCTCACGTACTGGTGTTGACACAGCAACTCGCTGAGGGCAGGTCCTTCCCTGTGTTGCTCAAACAAATGGATTATGCAGCAGTGGCTCCTTCTGGCTTGAAAATGTGTAAATCAGAAAGGGGTAGGTGGTTGTTCAACGTAGTGTGGTTAGTGTAGCTGTAGTTGTTTTTTGTGACTCAGCAGTTCTTTGGCTGAGGCATTGCTGTTTTCTGACTTCGTGCTCTGCACAGCGTTACTGGACTGCGTTATCTCAACTGCTGTGAACTGAATATCCACCAGCCAGTGCCGACCTAATAAGGTTCTTCCCTATTTCTAGTTGAAATCTGCTTTCTCTGTTAAATTTTGTCAAATGAGTCATACTTGCTTTTATTTAAAATGGCTGTGTTTTTAACTAATAGTGGTGATGTTGCATATTTGGCAAGCAAAGTGAGAATTATTTTGAAATAATATCAAATTATGCGCTGTGAATTCTTGATGAAAATACATGAGCTTTATTTTCATCTTGAATTACGACTCCTCCTTATACATCATTATTTTGCAGAAGAGATGACCTAATATGTATTTATTTTATTTGTCAAGTATTGACAGAGGTAGCTCTTCTTTCCTTTTAGGAATCTGGGTAAAAATGGCTTATCTAACAGTAGTATTCTATTGGATAAATGCCCACCTCCACGACCACCGCCTCCACCGTACCCTCCCTTGCCAAAGGACAAGCTGAATCCACCTACACCTAGTATTTATGTAAGTAAATCTAATGGCAGGAGTACATTGCTGACTGTCTTTTGTAATTGTTTGGATGTCTGAATTACATAATGTAATTATTTGGAAGATGCACTATTCATAGCTGAATTCTAATTACAGTGCTCTCCCGACTAGTGTATAAGCGGGGAAAATGCTACCCTTAAAGAAAATGTTGAGACATAGTTTGACTCTTAAAGTACCTGTAAATTAAGAATTTCAGTAAACAAGAGGAAAAACAGCTTTAGATTTGTTTTTGTTTATTTTTTAATACTCAAAATATTGGCAGAATAAGCAAACCAGTTCATTAGATACAATACACGATATTCCAAATATGTATGTGCGTTTTTGCATGTGATAGTTGATATAGAAATGAGCAAGTAATTAAACTAAACTCTCCTAACAATCTGCTTCAAAATACAGTAAAGAAAAAATTAAGAAAAGTTGAGGTGATGTTATGAACGAAACGTCGTTAGGAAAAGGCACATTTTAGTTGAATAGTATTTTCTTATGCAAGCATTAAAACTTCAGTTCTGAAATAAAGTGACGTAATAGCTTTATGAAGAGTTTCCGCTAACTTCCTTAGTAATAGAAGAATAAATTAGAGGATATCCACTACCTTGGTAACAGAAAAATAAATTCTAGTATGTCCATACAGCCAGTGTGAAAACCTGAAGTTAGCTTTTGGTCAGCTCAACTTGGAGTCCAGACGCGGTCGGCACTTTGGTCTGATGCTACACAAGCAATCTGCCCAAGAGCTAGATTAAGTTGGAAGCAATAGTGTTTCCAGCAGTTCTCCATGTGTTGCGTCTGAATTAATCTGCCTTATTAGAAGTTCATCGCAGCTTTGTTGAGCTTGTACAAAGCTGGTAAGTCACCGTGCTCCAGCATACATAGATGTGCCAGCATGGGTGCCGGTATTTCGGAACTCTGTATTGTATTTTGTTTATTGAAAGAGATGTTTTCAGAATTTTAAAAGATTCACAAATTATTTTTTTTTTCCAAAAAGTGGTGGGGGGGAAGAAAGATAGAGGAGACTGTAGCATAAAATTGAGGTCACAGGTGCACAAAAGTGTAAGAAAATCAAATCAACCTTTCTGGTTTACGTGAGAGATACTGTGAAAGTAGTCTTTTTAATTACACTGTTTCTTACATACATCATCTGTAGAATTACCTTTTTTGACTTCTGAAAAGAAAGTTAGTATATTATCTTGCTCTTCAGAGAATTCTGTGGATTTAGGGAATGTACAAGGCTACTGTCGGATAAAGAAATAAACTACAGGAAACCTGAGTTCCAAAAGCCCAAGCAAACTGGGAATAATTCATGCCGAGAAGTAAATTGCAGTAACAAATTAATTTCAGGAGTGAACGCAGTTTTTAACATGGAGAGGGTTGTATGAGGTAGCTGTACGTTCCCCACAGTGCAGGGAAATGGAAAAAATTCCTGTCTTCTTTCTGTTGTTTCTCTTTTTTTTTTAATTATTCTTCCTTATTTTACAATTAAGGAGTCTAAATTCATGCTATTCATTCTAATTCTAATACTCCATTATAATTTTACAGTTGGAAAATAAACGAGATGCTTTCTTCCCACCTTTACATCAATTTTGTACAAATCCAAACAACCCTGTTACTGTAATACGTGGCCTTGCTGGAGCGCTTAAATTAGGTAAGTTGACTTTATATGGCTTTTTTACTTCGGAAAAAAAGTATATGTTTTTTAAAAAGAAGTCTCTCAGTTCTTAAAACTGGATATTTTATTTCTGTAATACTGTATTACTTGTGTATTCCAAGTAATTAGGGTAATGTGTCATTTCTCAGTTCGCTACTGTTTCTCATCTGATAATCTCAAAAAAAAACCCCACAACCAAAATGCAGTGCATTTTATTGAGCACAGAGAGGAGTTGAGCTACGGATACAGAAGCTTACGGATAGACTTTTTTCCTATGAAAACTATGACTACATGTCTTTGTGCTTAGATTTAATGATCTGTAATCTGACTGTGTGCAATATTTTGAACTTTGTAGATAGAAAAACTATCATTGCTGGTGGGAAATGTGTTAGATGATGGAAGTGCATTCACAGAGCTCTGGTCTGAAAAATACTTTATTGGTAATAGATTTAAACATTGTTTGCAGATTTGTTTACACAAGGCATGTAAAACGTTTCTTGGAATATAGTCAGTACAGTAGCTGCCAAGTTTTTTCTAAGCTTCTACTGTTGTGTGCAGAGAAGCTTTTTCAGTGTTAATCATGAGTGTTAATTTTTAACGTACAGGTGGGCTGGGTTATGAAGACTGGGGTGTGGGGGAATGCTTTCGTTTAAACCTTTAGATAAAGTATTAATCATCTTGAAATATTTTATTATATTTTAACTGTCATTTATGAATTTTATTCCTGTTTATTAGATCTAGGACTCTTCTCTACTAAGACTTTGGTAGAAGCAAATAATGAACACGTAGTAGAAGTGAGGACACAGCTACTGCAGCCAGCAGATGAAAACTGGGACCCCACTGGAACAAAGAAAATCTGGCGTTGTGAAAGCAGTAGATCTCATACAACAATTGCTAAATATGCACAGTACCAGGCCTCCTCGTTCCAGGAGTCTTTAAGGGTAAGTCTATTGTTATTATTTAAGTTATAGTTTATAAACTGTGTTATTAACTTTGGAAGCAATTAATAATGGATATTGAAAACACATGGAAGCTGTTAAGGAGATATTTTCATTAGCCTGAAGAGCACAGGTAAATTTACAGAATCTGTTTGGAATAGAGGGTCAAATAGTATATAGAGTGTTCCTCTGAAATGCTGAATGTAAAACTCCTGGCTATTGATCCTTTAAAAGCTTATTAGCTTAAGCTTTCATGTAATAATGTCAAAATTCATATTAAAATATTTAGAACTTAAGATGCTTTTTTTAACTTGTATTGCTTCTGATTTCACACGCGCTTTGAAATCAGATTTATTTGTTCGTCATAGTATCCTGAATTAATTTGGATGTGGCTTATTAGAAGTTTACTCTCACACTTGTCTTTTAGTGGGTTCAAAACATAACAGTTTCTATCTAGTTTAGAAGCTCTTAGACGTATGTGACAGTGAAATGTTTGAAATGTTATTTTATTGGTATTACTTTTTAATATTTTTGCTGAAGTAGTGAGCACATCTTTGGAATTAGCTGTGGTCACTTCTCGGAGGCTTATGTTATCTGATGTTATAAAAACGTTAGACTAAGGTGGAACTAGGACAAAAAGATGTTCTTGACCAGTTGTTAATTAGAAAATAGGGAAAACACCAATGTGAGGAATTGACTATTGCAGCTTTCACTACCTTTACACAGAAGTAGCAATAGTTTCTGTGAGAAAGGAAAGAGAAATTTTAAATTTAAACTTTATACATTAGGGGAAAGCATTAGAAACAAAGAAATTAATTGGTAGATGAAGAAAAGAGAAGGGAAGGTGGTCACAAGGTTTTGAGTGAGACCAATACAGGATGAGGAAAAGAAACAGGAATTGGGAACCATTGGGAAGTGGGGAGCACTGAAGTCATCAAGAGCCTGGGACATAAATGAGATTTTTCTTCCTCCGCAGTGGCTATAAATTTAAGTAGGATATCAACTGAAGTTTTGTGGTGCTCCGTGAACAGTTGCACCAGCATGGTATTCTTGTACATCATTCCAGAGGGGCTGGAGAACATTACTTCACTGGAACATTGTATATATACATGTTTAATAATGTACGTAACTGGTGACGTACCAGCTTGTCACTAGGAAAGCTTCAGCTTTAAATTTGCACCAAGAAGTGAATTGCAGGACTTTCTGATCATTTTTTTTTCCTCTGTTACAAATTGGTGATAAAAATGCAATATATAAAATAATTTTCAGCATTATAATTTCAGTTTCTCCTTTGGAAATCAGAAATACGCTGGTTTAAGTGTATATGTGTCCTTTGTCTAACACCACTTTGACCTGTCTGTCCTTAGGTGACTTTTCCACAGTGTTCAAACGAAAGCTTTGTTTCTTCTTTTTGCAGACACAATCCTCTCGGCTTGCCCTTAGTGATCTTTTTTTTTTTTATTTCTCCAACAACTATTGCATTGCTTTTCTAACATGTCTTGCAGTATTTGATAAATCCATCATCGCTAGGTTCCTTTTTGTTTCTCTTTGTCCTTCATTCAAAGGATGAATAAGACTTTTTCAGGTACATAGGGCACTTTGAGACTTAACAACAATCCCATTCAAAGCTTCGGATCTTTGGATAGCCTCCAGGCAGTTCTTTCCTCCTTTTTGTCTTATTCTTTTCCTTTCTATGTCCGTATACTTGCCAAAAAAGAAGGTCTTTAGAATAGGGTTTTGAGCACACTGTGCTAAAAAGATTAAATTACATCATTTAATAGTGGTTAGATTTTTTTCCACTAGACATGATCCTAGCTACTGCCGTGCTAAAATAGCACATGGCTATGAAAAATTCAGAAGATTTTATATAATGGATTTTATAAAATTAATCTTATAAATATTAGTCATCGTAGATTCGTATCAGGATACCTGCTTGACTTTGAAGAAAGGTAAATGTTCTGGACCGAAAAAATGAACAGTATTCCGTAAGATTGGATTCCTGTTCACTTGCATAATGAAGCAAACCAACATAGACATTTGCACAACTGTAATGTAGGCTAGCAGAAATGTTTCCAGTGTACACATTTTCTGTTGTCCTGGCCTGAGCTTCACTGAATTTGTAGTCATGAAGAATTTTTTGCAATGGCTTTTGACTAGCAACGTTTTTTATTTTCTTAACAATAATATTCACATAAGATCTTACATACATAGATATTTAAATGATTGTACGAGCATCTTGAAACACATGTACTTATCTCTGTGAATGTGTTATCACTTTATACCTATATATTTTATATATGTTCTTTTATGTATATTTATATATCTTTAAATATGCCCACAATTGCATTTTACAGGAGGAAAATGAGAAGAAGAGTCACCACAAGGACCACTCAGATAATGAATCCACATCTTCTGACAAGTAAGTGTGGTATAACTGTGATAATTCTGTAGTTGTTTTTTTTTTTTATATAATTCCAATTTTCACATTCACCCATTACATTTTTTTTTTTAATATATTTGCAGCTCTGGGAGGAGGAGAAGAGGACCTTTTAAAACAATCAAGTTTGGGACCAACATTGACCTGTCAGATGACAAAAAGTAAGTTGATTATGGTTTCTCCTACGCACAGTGGTATTCTACAGTATGATATTCCTTCTGGGGAAACCAGTGCATTCTTCTCAGACGTCAGTCAGTCTATTGATAAACCCAGTGCCAGTTCCACACCCCATTTGCACAATTAAATTGTTACCTTTGGTCTTTAAACTGTTGTTGTGAGTCCTTTTCACACTAAAATCTCTTTCCAAGCTTTTATTTCCAAGACGTTTATTTTTCCAGAAATGACCTTAAACATCCATCAGAAACTGTACTTTCTAGTCCTCTTTCTAATATATTCCCTTTGTTTCATTCCAAGGCTTTAAATTGTTTGCTTACAACTTAAATTACTTCTGACAATACCAAGTTTTCAGTCTTTGTACAGAAATTGCAAGATGAAAGGTTTTTTCTTTTTTGTTCATCTGGAGTTTTGTTATTTGTCTTTTGTTTCCTTTTGTTCCTACTGTCATCCTTTCTGTTTCCACTTTTTCGTAGCTCTTGCTTCTCTATCCAAGAATAGAGTTCAAAATATGTAGTAAAGACCAGACCAATGCTTACCTGTGGATAAGCCCTGATAACCTCTCCCAGAACCTCTAAAAAAAAGAAGGAACAAATTGTGTATTCTTTAGACAGCGTATCCTTCTGTGAATAGATGAAGGTAGATCAGAAAAATATCAGAAGATAGTAGAAATACTCTGAAAGCATGGGGGTTTTGTCCAGTAATAATTTTTTATTTGACTCAATCTCTTGTTAGTAATGTTTCCATAAAAGATCTAGCACGTCTAGGCCGTCAGTCCCACCAGCTGCAGTACAAAAATTCTGATCTACTTCAATCATTAAAGCAGAACAAAAGGTTTTGAAACTGGGAAGTAAGGCCTGCTTAAGATACTGAGGTCTTTTGTGGTACAGTTTCTGAAAGATCAATGTGTGAATATATGTATGTGATTAGAGATTGTTGTAAAATTTTAAGCTACTGCTGCTGGTTTTTGCCAAAGAAAATTCCACCTATAGATAGAAAATTGTTGCTAATAAACTAGCACTCTGAGCAAACCATTGGGAGAGAGCCTTTAAATAAACGTAAGCTTAACTAACCTGAGGCTCACAGGGAGTTGGATTTTGATACTTGAAATAGTTCTTGTAGGATCCCAGGTAGATGCCATATTTTCTGATCTGCAGTCTCAGCTTTTACTACAAAACTACGTTTCCCCTCAACTGCCCCATCAGATTTGTGATTATATTTGGAAATACTTTAAAATGCAACAGATACGTGGGTGACATTACGGAGCTCCACACTTTTGGGATTTTTTTGTCTGAATATCTGTATTTTTCTTAATGCAAGTATTCAGCCTCATAGCACGTGCATGCCGTTAACTTCACTCTTGGTCACAGCAATTGCGTGCACGGGCTCGGGTATGTGTAGACAGTCTTCTTGACATATGTTAGCATCATATCATGTCGCTCTTGAAAACACGGTTAACAGTTTCTGACTGTCTGGCTTACAGTGGGGGGAGAGCACAGCTCTGTTTTTACTTGGAAAAGATGTACACTGAGATGTAAATTGCAAGCAGAATTTTCTGACAGTATAGCAGCAGACTGGTTAACTGCAAGAGTGAGTGCAATTACCCTGGCTTTTAGCTGACCCTTAAATGAAATTGTCATTTAAATTCCTGTAACTGTCAAGTAAGGGTATTGCATTGTCTCAACTTCTCTCTTAAGAGACGCTAAGTTATACAGTAGTAGGTTGTCTGCTCCTTTATCTCCTATGCTAACAGTTTTTTGAAAATGTTTGTATTGCCCAAACTCTTCTACGAGTTTTAGGGATTCACAGTTTGTCGATTTGCTATTTTGCTGCAGGTGGAAGTTGCAACTCCATGAACTGACAAAACTTCCTGCTTTTGTACGTGTGGTATCAGCAGGAAATCTTCCAAGCCATGTTGGTCATACCATCCTGGGCATGAACACAGTGCAGTTGTACATGAAGGTTCCAGGAAGCAGAACACCAGGTGAGTATAATCTCTTTGCATGAGAAAAAAATCAGGTTCTACTGCTGTGGTATTGATTTAACTGCACTGCAGATTTTCCATATCTTACAGCATGCCTAAACATGATAAATTTGTACATATTCAATATTTTTAAAATTTCTTGTTTATCTGAACTCTGCGTGTATGAAGTACTAAATTCCTTAGAGTGGAAATTTCTGGATTTCTGCAGTGCTAGGTAATTACCATACTAACCTCTTGCATGCAATACTGGATTCTTTGAGGGGAAAAACAGGACGGGTTTATATACTTGGACAATATTTGTATTTTACATACCTTGAAAGTTTTCCTAGGCTTCCAAATTAGGTCTTGTGCAATCATAAAAATCAGTATAGTTTTACTTTTTAGATTCTTTATTGTCTGAGGATAGGACTCAACCCTCCATAATGAATAGTGCTGTGTTAGGACACTGGACTGAAACTTGAGGGATCTGGACTAAATTTCAGGGTCTGTTTTTTCTGAAGTACAGGTTTTGAAAATTCCATTAGGGATTATGGCTCAGTTTTCCAGCTGTCAAAAGAAGATAAAATACTGGCATTTCTACATTGATTTTGAAAGCTCCTTTGGGACAGATTTTCTTACTACTTGTCTATTCAGTGCCTGAAGTCATGAAGTTTTGCTCCTGACTGGGACTGTCAAGAGCTATCATAAACCAAAAAATCTAAGCTTTAGCATCTCGAAGCACTTATTTCTACAAATAGGGAACTGCTGAAGTATTGGTCAGATTCGCAAGATTAGTAGTTCCAGCTTTTCATTGTCCACAAACTAACAAAAGCAGAATTCTCGTCACTAATAGCTTAATTGGATTTCATAACGCTGTGAAGCACCTAAATGGTATGTGTAAGTATCATAAACTGTGCTGTAGGATGTTTTAGTAATTGTAACTTTGCGTTTTTGTAGCGTTATTTTGATAGATCAGCCTTACAAAAAGTGTGTTTATTTTTCTCTAAATTTCAGGTCATCAAGAAAATAACAACTTTTGTTCAGTAAATATAAATATTGGTCCAGGTGACTGTGAATGGTTTGTTGTCCCTGAAAGCTACTGGGGTGTCATGAATGACTTCTGTGAAAAGTAAGCTGAGCATGCTGTTTTTCTCTGTTTTTATTAAGTTCTCTGGGCCTTTCTCAGGCCTAAGGGGGGAAATTACTGAGGGTGTTGTAAGAGGACATTATTTTATGGGTTCTCCATGTAGTCAGAAAAGTCTTTTAAAAGTCAAAATGCAAAATCTAGAATTTATATAAAATACAGCATTTGTACAATGTACAGAAACTTGGATTGCCTGTGATAGCTTTCCTCTCAAAAAATAACATTAGGTCCATGATTTGTTTTTTCAAACACACGAATGAAGGAAATACAAGAAGTGAGAGATCGGTAGTAGGAACTACACATCTAGGTTCAAGATTCAAATTTATACTACATTAAGAGGGATCAGAAGTTTAGTATCATGGAATCATAGACTGGCATGGCATAGGCTGGAAGGGACCTTAGAGATCATCTAATCCAACCTCCCTGTCATGGGCAGGGACGCCTCTCAACTAGATCAGGCTACGCAAGGCTCTGTCCAACTTGGCCTTGAACACCTCCAGTGAGGGGCCATCCACAACTTGTCTGGTCAATTTATTCCAAAGTCTTACCACCCTCGTACTGAAGAATTTCTTCCTAAGATCTAATCTAAATCTTTTCTCCTTCAACTTAAACCCATTTCCCCTTGTCCTATCAGTGGACACTCTTGTAAAAAGTCCCTCCCCAGCCTTCCTGTAAGTTCCCTTCAGGTATTGGAAGGCAGCTATTAGGACCCCCAAAGTCTTCTCTTTTTAAGTATAATGATAGGCTGTCTACTACGAATGTGTATTATATGGCATCAGTCCAGCTTTTGTAGTGGTAACATTTCCACATCAGAAAATCCATCATAGTCCTTGCTGTTTATCTAGGCACTCTATCGTACATATTAAAACTGACCTCTACTTTTACCAAATGAGATGCTTTTGTGATGGCTTCTAGGGCTATTGCAGTGGAGTGACAGAACAAAGTTGGAGGTGAGGGAGTTGAGGTTTTTTATTTTGTTTTGTTTGGGGTTTTTTTTTAGGATTGATGGAGTAAAGTATTTTCCTGGTGATGTACATTAATCATAATAAAGATTAACAACATACCTGTTGTACACAAACAGGTACAGTCTCACTGGTATTTTGGCATGGTTTCTTGCTGCATCTAGAGGGAGAGCTTAGTTTACTCAGACCCCTGGAGGTGTCATGGCATGCTTTGCGTACAGTTACATGTTTGTAGCTTGCTGGGAAAGTTGAGATGCACTGACCATTGGAGAAATACTCAGCCAGCTCCAAGATTAGTGTTTCTATGATGTGCCTTGTGTTGAGTGGATGCTTTAAAAACAAACACACGCACACACACACACACAAAAAAAAAAGAGGAGCAGGAGTTGTGTCCCCTAATCATGCTGTGTTCAAGCAGTAGCCTGTGAAGCTGATCTTATAGGAGAATTTTTTTTCCTTATCTTGCTCAGTTAAAACTGACCTTGACTTTTCTTCAGAAGTTTTCTAGAGCTCTGGAAATTCACCTCAGTATTTCTGTACTCTGTATTTTCTGCCTCTCTGCTGACAACTGTCAACTGTCCTATTTACATCCACCTTTATAAAGATTAACTATCTCAAAATTAGAATTCCACTGATGTAATTGGAATGTTTCTGATGACAACATGCCATTTACTCCCATGTTCTCCTTAGGGTGACAGAGAAACTAAGATCTTAGTAACTTCATAAAATGTCTAGAGTGCCTGATAGAGGCACTGAATTGTCTTTAAAAGCTGTGAATTGCCAATCATCTCTCATGGTGCAGTACAAAAACGGTATAAAATTGGAATAAGGGTGAGAGAGAAGTATGTATTTTGCATAACCATAGTAGAAGAGTTTGTGCTTAGGAAATCCATACGGGGGTGTTCTTTCATGCTTCTCAGGAGGGTCGGTATTTCTGGGCTGAATGTAGCATAGACCTGTGAATAACAGTTGAGATGGTGCCAACAGTTGTTGTGTGGACAAGCTTCATGTGCGTACACTGGCAGTATGAGTACATGATTGGGATTTTTCAAAACAGAAAGCATTCTTAAGAGCTGTTATGGTCTGTATATAAAAATCAATAACTGGTTTAAAAAGCAGCACTCTGCACCAGTGTCACGGTAGATCTGACTAAGAATTTCTTTGTCTCAGCATTAATAAAATACTGGGAATTTAAACAAAAATAGAACATAACTGGAAGCCATAAACTGACTTCACACAGGCAGCCAGGTGGTTAAGTGTTTTAATGTATTGCAGGATATGAAATGTGCAGTTCGGATCAGGAATGTTATAGGTGAAACTTTCCTTTTGACTAGTCCTCCTGGGTCAGTATTAGATGCAGAAAGCATTTATTTTGGTGATCAGTTTTTACAGGTAATTTCATTGACATTTCAGCCACTAATGTGTGTACTGATAAATGCTGAAGACTATTTTTCCTGTTGTTTCAGGAATAATATGAATTTCCTAATGGGATCTTGGTGGCCAAACTTGGAAGATTTGTATGAAGCCAATGTCCCAGTTTATAGGTTTATTCAAAGACCAGGGGATTTGGTGTGGATAAACGCCGGCACTGTTCATTGGGTTCAGGCTATCGGTTGGTGCAACAACATTGCATGGAATGTTGGCCCTCTTACAGGTATGGCTGAATGGTGCCTGTGCTGAACTACATAATTGGGTAATGTTATACTACGTTTGCCACAGAAGCGGCCATTTCTTTCTAATTTACCATGCTTTACTAAATTAAAAAAAATGAACATACTGTATTTTAAAACATTACGTGTTGAAGCTTTACATAATTTCCTTGCTAAGAGGAAGCAGGAAGAATGAAGTCTCTGCACTTGTTCGTTTAATGGACATGTGAAAATTACAATTGTATGGCAAACTCCAGTATAATAAAATGTTTAGATGAATTCGTACACTCTGTCTTGTAGGCCATTTCTCAACTTTTTCTCCCAAGATGTGTTCTACCCAGCGGACTGGGCTATAGCTTGCGTATGAGTTAAGGATTTGTCCAGTCTAACTTTTTCAGGACAACTGATGCCTAATAGCTCTTTAATGAAAGCATCAGGAAATGCAAACAGTTGTAAAATATTGTTGATAAAAGAATATTAAGTTTTTCAGACCTACTGCTCAAGAAGTCTTTAGTTTTGAACCATGGTCTTGGAAAGTTTTTAGATGTGAGAGTGGAAGGAAGTTTCACAGCTAAAATGAGATTCTGCCAAGCGTTTGAAGAGAATGTACTTCCGAAACACTCCGGTTTTCTGAAATAGTTTAAAGTATGTCTTTATTTCATTACAGTGCAATAAATAGTGTGTCTCCAGGACTGTATGATTGATACAGAGCTCACATGTTCAGTTGCAGTAAATTTTGTAAAACAATTTTTTTTAAAAGGGCAGAGTGAGTAGGCTGCTTAATGAAAAATCTGAGTCATTGCAACAAATCTTTCAAGGTGCAGTCTTCCTTTTCAAGACCAATTATATACCATAGCATTGTAAAATTATGATAAAGAGTGAATAGAGTGAGATGCAGACATTTCAAATTTTGATTTTTTTTTTTATAATCTTAAATATTTGAAAGTTTTTGAAGTAACCCTTTTTGAAATATTGCGCTCTGTTCACCACAGAAATGAACACTTGTCAGTAACTTATTTTCACAAATAGTTGTTGCTGCTGTGGTGTTGTGCATTCTTTTAGCATCATAAATACACTTACTAAAAATATTTTATGGCATTCGAGTGTAGCTGGAATGAGTGGGTCATTGCGAATGAATTTTAGTCTAGCCCTAAAAGGTATAAATTTTTGTTATAATCAAATTATTTTGGCTCCAGTTCATACTTATTTCTTAACCTGACTAATTGCTTCTGTAATTTTGTTTTTGTATAGCCTGTCAATATAAACTGGCAGTGGAACGGTACGAGTGGAATAAACTGCAGAGCGTAAAGTCCATAGTACCCATGGTTCATCTTTCATGGAATATGGCTCGAAATATCAAGGTCTCAGATCCAAAGCTTTTTGAAATGATAAAGTAAGTCTTACTTATTTGAACGTTTATTGTACCCATTTCTTCTTCAAGTGTAAAACAATAGTTAATTTGTAAGTAATCCTTTGTAAGATTCTTCCATTCCCAAGAATCAAGCTAAAATTGTTTTATATTCTGTTTTTCAAGTAATCCATTTATAGATACCATTAATTTTACTATGTTGTATTTGGTGTTATTGTGACGTAGATTTAGAATGCTCTAATTAATTTTTTTGTTAAATATGCCATAGATTAATACAGCAGTTTGCAAAGCAGTTGACTTAGATGACAAAAGCTGTTTAGAGTACTTACTGTAAGAAATAACAAAATTAGGTCATCAACCCAAATATTAGAACGTTTAGTCATTTTTACAGCAAAGTTAAGCTTAATTTTACATTTCTAGAACCTCTAGTTAGTGTTCACACACTGTCATTTGGAGATCAGGTATAAATGTTTTAAATAAAGGCAAGGAGGAATTTGAAAGCCTCTTTCACTTTGCTTTTCTGAACAATGAGTTAATTGATATGTAAAATGATAATTGAGTTTAGTGACATTTCTCATACACATATTCCAAAATGCAGGAATATTCCAGGCTTGAAGCATCTTTAGTAATTTTCTTCAAAGAGTGCCTCTTCAAGCAACTATAAATCACACTGCAGCACTGTTATACCTAGGTAGAAGACTGAAGGACATTTCAGCATATGTCCTAGGTTTGTCCTAAAGAAAGTGGAGGAACGAGTCCCAGAGCAGATGACTGCTCATGAGAATACTCTGGTAGCAGCACTCTTCTCTTTAAGCCTACCAAAGCAGCCTGTAGCTTGAGCACTTCTTAGTCTTTTCAACATACTGGATCCACAAGCATTGAATCATTTTATAATTTGCCTCGAAATGAATCTTTAAAAAATGAGTGGGTTAACTTGCAAAAAAAAGACAAAGAAAAATAATTTCTTCTTTTTCCCCCTTAGTAGGATTTATTGATGACATTTGAGTGAGACACCTTTTTACAGTAGGAATTTAATTTAGGCTTGAACATCTGTTGCAAAATGGTGGAATTGGTGAAATGGTAACCGTAAGGACCAAAAACGTTAAAAGTTGAAGACAGCGTGGTTTGTAGTCACTGTAAAGCTAGATTTTGGAACAGCATTCGTGTGTGAATACTTTCTTAAAATCTAGTAACTAGTATCTACGGTAAAGAAAACATTTGCTGAAGGTGTGACAGTCCTGCCCCTTCAATTAAGCTATTAGTGCTTGTAGTCAGGATGCCAGCTGTCATAAGAGGGAGAGGAGAAACTGCTTAGAAATGAGAAACAGGGAAAAGAAGCAGGGTGTGGGAGGGAGGAAGCCAAAAAGTCCTTTTAAAAAAAATGCAAACAAACAAACAAAGAAAAATCCACAAGAAACTCACTTCACAGTTATTGTAGAGCTGGAAATAGTTCTGGAATACTTTTGGCAAAATATGATTTTGGCACCTATATTTTACATTTGCATAAGTTTGGATTTTTTTGCCATGGTTAAGGCTTAAAAGGAGAAAAACATGACTGAGCATAGCATCGTTCTTGAGAAGAATATCTTAAAATGTTGTGAAGAAACACAGAGGATAAAATGGTTGTATCCTATTGTCTTGCTGGCTGATGGTAGTTGAGATTTCTCTAGTAAGACATAAATTTTAGGTGTACATTAGAAACAAAGGTGGTGAGGAGCAGTTGCAAACTGTGGTCTTGCATGATTTTGCTTTTCCAGTTTATGGAAACAACTTCCAGTTTACTTGGATTAAGCCCTCCATCCAAGTTAGTTGTTAGCCAAATCCCAAATTCCATGCTATGTGTGCAGAGGGGAAGAAGATCCAATGATGAGCTCTGGTTTGTAACATCCAGTAGCAGTAACCCAAGATAACTCTTAATTGTGGTCACTTCTATGTTACTAGAACTGGGTGTCACCAGCATACACAGTCTAGTGTCTGACCTTGGCTTTGTAAGTGTTTTGGAAATGCAGAAACCTTCATGAATCTCCTTAAGATAGGAAAGCAGTGGCGTAATTTTCATATGGACTGCTTCTTCTGTACAGGAAAATAGCACCAGCTAGCAAGAAGCTGTTGTCTGCTGCTCCTGGATTTTATTGTGTACATAATGTAAACGTTTTTGTGTTTTTATGTGTGTATGTATGTGTGTGTATAAAAAACACTTGAGAAATAGTGATTTCTGATACAGCTGGTTGAATTTCATCTTAATGGCTGACTTTTCTTTTGTCATCAAGAAAAAAAAAAATGTGTCACTGACACAGCTGTCATCTTTTTTGCCAAAATGCAGGTCTGTATCTAAAATTGCATGTCGGAGATAGCTGAAGTGTTTAGGTAGTTTGACTGCTCTTTCTGGGGCTTCTTAGATATCAGAACAGTACAGAAGAATAGCTCTTAGCAAACGACAAAAAGTAGGTAGTAATTCCGACTTGAAAGATAAATACAAATATGTCTTAGTGTGGGTTATGTGAGAGGAGAGTAAACACTACAGAGGCAATAAACTAAAATTTAAGCGTACATATAAATATTGGGAACCAGATTCATGATGAAAAGAGATAGAATAGCAGTAGGGAAAAAAAATAATAGAAAGAAACTTTGCTTTTGGAAGAAATCTGAAGCCGCCTTATTAATGTGCCTTAGTTAATGTGCAGCTTGGTGCTGTCTTGCTAGATAAAAGACAAAGAACAAAAACTGAAACTTTCTCATGGGATATTTTTTTAAAGATTTGATATTAACAGTAGAATCATGAGCAGGAACACAGACAGAATGATTTAAAGCATTGACTGAGGGAGCGCAACCCTCAAGAAAAGAAAAAATAGCACAAACCTCTTAGATGGAAGCTAGAAGGACTTTTACAAATGCATCTGAGGAAGAGAAGAATTTTAGAGGTAGTGGGAACATAGTAATAAAGGCTTGAAAAATTAATTCCAAAGTGACTGAAATACTAAGTTCTTTTACAAAAATAGTTTTAGAAACATAAAAGAACATGACTTCAGAGAAATGATTTTGCGCAAAATCATGAAGCCAGATAACATACATTTCAGTATCAGTAGGGAAGATATATTACTGAAAGAACAGAGAGGTCAGATTTGCATTGCCATTGGAATGGACTCCACACTTTGAGAAGTTTTATTGGTTATCTAAATAATCAAACAGTTTTCTCATTGCCCTTCTAGAATAAATCAGGATGATGTCCATTTTAAAATATTCACTTTTCTTAAATATTTGAATTTGACTGGACATGATTCACTCATATTTTTTGTGCCATACCTGTAAAGAATTTGAGAGAGAGAGATGGTCTAGGTTTTCTTTAAAGTGAATTCTCACTGTACAAGAATAAAAGCGGACCTACAATACTAAAAATTGGCACCATTTAACTTACGTGTTGTGACTCTGCTAGACACCTTTTTGTCTATCTTTAGGCTTCCCATACTTTAGGGAATTGTGGTGCATTTTCAAAGTGATAGTTCATATGCTTTCTCCCATTCTTTGACAGCATGAAATAGTTAACGTTTATGTTTTCAAGTGCCATTATTACGATCTGAATTTTACCCAAGGAGGGAGAATTCACCTTCTAGATACTGGTTCTGTCTTTGGTTGCAAATTTGGCAAACGTTGTGGTGGTGTTATATGTGGGTTATGTTTTGAGCAATTCTTTCTCCACAACTGTAACACTAGAAAACTTTGAAAGTAACACTTTGAAAACTCTTTGGAAGTCAAGAGTGGAGAACAATGGTGGCAAGTGTGCAGGTGTGCTTTCAGTTGCTCTTTGGCATACCCAAAGATTTTTCCAGATAACAGCAGAAGGGAGGAATGATAGCTCTTGAGTTTATTTGAAATCAGGCTGTATTGCATGAAAGAAAGCTATACCAAGGTTACCAAACTTACCAGAAGCGTGGCTACGTTAGCCCAGCATTCAAGTGAATTAATACATGATCTATGGCATATTGGTCTTAGCATTATGAAGTCCCATTAACATCAAACTTTGAAAGTGTTCAAGGAGTTACAGCTAAACGAGCTGTTTGATTTTCTTGAAATTCAGTGTATGAAAATGTGATGTTTAACATAGAAACACACTTTCAGTTTTGCAGTATTCTTACAGTGAGGGTATCAATGAAGCCATAGACTTGTTTTTAGTGAAGATGAATAGTCGGAGTGTAAAACATGAAGAAGGGAGAGTATCTCAAAGTAAGCCTAAGAGTCTGTTAGCTACTTGGAAACACATGAAAGAAATATTTTAAAAAAAAAAATACGTGTTCAAGGCTTTAAAATGGGAGAAGGATCAAGTTGAAAACATTTTGATACAACTCTTGAACACTTTGTTTTTTGTCCAATGTTTATTCTTCCCCTTCCATTTTTTTCAATCTTCCTTCTACATCTAATGAGCGTGTAACGTAACCACCCTGTGGAGGAGAAAATTAAAGGCTGCAGCTGAAATAAACAGGATAGCTAAGAGCTAAAAATTATTGTAAATAACATTGTAATTTAGAAATCTGGCGACCTATTTTGCCAGGGTTTTTTTTTTTTTAGAGAATGTATGTAGCTCATACAATGCTAGAAAACAAGTTAGATATTCTAGTATGGAAGAGAACTGTATAAAATTGTGAAGATACTTTTTTTTTTTAATCCTTTACAGAAGTATAGCAGGGAATTATTGATTTTAATTTGACTTTTAACCAGTTCTTTTCTTAATTCATAAAATAAGTGTTAAAAAAATATTTTTTTCAATGTTAATTTTTTTTTTCCTATGAAGAGACTTCCTTTTCTAATACCTACGTGTCTATTCTTTTCCCTTTTACGTAAAAGAAGATGCTTGTTGATAGATGTTATTGCCACTCCACAGAGTGATTCCTGTCAGAACTTGGGTTTCCAGGCTTTGGATAACTGAAAGTTTAGTAGTGTTGAGAAAGTAACAGGGTTTTTAGGATGTTAGTTAAAACAGTTCTTTGCATAGGCTATAGTCATTTACACAAAATGTAAATGGTTATTTTGACCTTGGCAGTTCAAACTAACTTTTTGCTGATAAAGCCGTAGTGCAAAATAAAGAATTGCTTTTGAAAACACATTGTTTTATTGTGCTTAAAAAAGCATTGATGCGTTCCAGTCAAAAATGAAAGATACAGCCTGTTTGAAGGGCAAGGGGCAGTACTGGGATGGAACAAATCTACACAGAGGTCCATAAGCATGTGGTCTAACTTCTGTGTAAGTCACGGGTCCAGTGATTCTTACCAGCCAGCTGTTTCTGAAATCCCAGAGGAAGAGGGAAACTCCAGGTACAGGATCTTGGAAGAAATTTAAGCTTACTTGAATCTTGCTGTAACAACTGATTCTGGTTGCAGGTACTGCCTGTTAAGAACTCTCAAACAGTGTCAGACACTGAGGGAAGCTCTAATTGCTGCAGGAAAAGAGATTGTCTGGCATGGACGAGCGAAGGACGAGCCAGCTCATTACTGTAGCATTTGTGAGGTCAGTAAAAATATGTGTTGAGTTTGTGTACTACTATAATATTTATTTAAGTTTTGTCCTATCTTTTGTTGTTGTTGTTGCTCTTTCTAATTTTGCTTTTAAGTTGCAGCATGTAATGTATGCTATAAGCACGTGCATGTGGGGCAGTACCGTCTTCAGAGAGCTTATCAAGCTGTTTTTCTAGACGTAGGCTGTATTTTGCTGCAGTCTCTTCCACGGTATTGTTATTCACTAGGTCGATTTTCAATTCTCAGTTATTGTAAAAAGTTGTTATCCCTTCCTGCATATAATTTGATCTGCTGAGCTTCATTTTAAAGGTTTATGTCTCTTCATTTCAAAAGTCAACAACAGCCTCAAAAGAGAGAGAATTTAACTACGTTTTCTTCACAGGACATACCTTTTTCCTGAAATTTTTTATTCTACTTTGTATTAACAGTTCCTTGACAGTATTGGATAATAGTTTTCATGAAGGCTAAAAGAAAATAAAATTTACTACCCCTGAAAATCAGTTTTGAGTTACTTTCTGACTGAGCCTCTTGGGCAGGCTGAGTAGTAAGGAAATAAATCCCAAACTTCTTTTGCAGACAAATTTAAAAAGGGAAAATTAGGTATAATTGTTACAAATCTCCACCTTACTGAGTAACCCCTATTCAGACTATGAATCCTGCTTTGTCAATATTGACCAAAAGCTTTCCTGTAGCACTGTTCATGCAGGCCTCCTAAGTGTAATATTAGTGGTTTTCCAATATTTCACTTCTCTGCCTGAGCCTTAGGACGATAGATTTTCCCTGAACAAATCTAATTTTTCTCTTTGCATACAGAGGGTAAGGGAGTAAATCGTAAAGAAAATACAGTTTTCATGGTTTAACTTTTAAAAACTGAAATCATTAACAGTTGATTTTCTGTTTCCTGTCTAACAGGTGGAAGTCTTTGATCTGCTTTTTGTCACCAGTGAGAGCAATTCTCGAAAGACCTATGTTGTACATTGCCAAGACTGTGCACGAAAGATAAGCACGAACCTGGAAAATTTTGTGGTGCTAGAACAGTACAAAATGGAGGACTTGATGCAAGTCTATGATCAATTTACATTAGTAAGTCAAATTAATAAGTGGGTGCGTAAATACGTTATTTGTAAAGCAGTTGTAGACTGTCTTGGTACTCCATTGTATGAGTACCGTGAACTTTCTGATTCAAATGGAGGTATGGGTTGTGTGTGATATTTGCAGAACAAAACGCTGAAGAGTCAGAATTATGTGAAATAGTACAGTAACTTACTGCAGAACGTAACCGCTGAGTTTTCAGGAAAAGTATGATGTTACAATTCATAAAGTTGTGGCTTTAAAAATCCAATAGAGATCACCTGAAGACCATAACTGGATCAGATGGAGATGGGAAGAATCAGGACAGTGAAGCTTGGAGAAACTAGCACCAGGTTCAAGAGCATCTCTAATACATTGGTTGTGGTATGAAGTCAGTATAGCAGCAGAGCATCCTATGCACTCAGACCCCTTCCTTCCCCTTCCCCACCCATCCCCTCCCAAATCAGCGCTGTCCTTCTGCTTAGCAAGTGGATGCTCTCAAACAGTTCTGTCTTTTGGCTTGGGGCCTCCTTTGCATTTCAATTTAAAGCAAAAAGCCTCTTCGCCATTATAGCTTTGTGCTATATATGGCAGCCTCCTGCTTTGAACTGTGTCAGCACGACTGTCCTAACGTTTCAACCAGGTTTCATTGTTTCAGGCAAAGATGGCTTGTTTGTAATCACAATGAAAGCGATGCTGGATTTATTTATAAGCCTTGCCTTTCTGTCAAAGAAGACAAACACTGGACAAAGCGTTATGAGAATTTCATGTTGAATTAAATACAACAGCCCAGAAACGGCTGTGCCTTTTGATTCATTTCCAGGTGCTGCAGAAAATGTATGTTTAGACAATTATTTCATGTATTGCTAGCATGATAAGTTGTGATCTCTTGAGCTAAGGCCTCAAGGTTCAACAGTAGAGGCTGTCGAGAGTGCAGGACCATGTCCTCTGAATTTAATCCTCTTCATTGGTCCTGCAGGGCCTGAGGTGGTTGAACTTCAGTTCATACTTCTAGAAGCCCATTGTCGTTATAGTTTGTGAAATACTGCAATTTCAAAGTGATGATCTGTTACAGAAAAGCATATAAATAAACACCTGTTCTCAGATACGTCATCCAGTTGAGTGGAAATGGGCAGGAATGTTTCTGTGTGGAAAAGAAGGGGAGGGAGGGGTATTTTGTTGTCTGTGTTTATAATATTATATAGGTAACAGTGATGGCATTGTCCCTAGAACAAGGGTTCTCAACCTGTGAGTAGCTCCCTCCTCCACCGAAGCCTATACCTGCAGCCCTAAAGGGTGTTAGTAATTGTTCTCTAGTGAAATCAGTGTGCACATTCATTTCTTTTAAAGCAGATACAGCCTCAGTTGAGAAGAGTCATAGCCTAAAAGTTGACATCTCCCAGATATAGGAGAAGAGTTGAGGTTTGTTGCAAGTCACAGCATGAAGATAATCTCAGATGGCAAAGGTGCAATAGGCCTAACAGAGAGATTCTGCGTTTGGGGTAAAGTATTGGGAGTAAACATGGGGATCAGCTAGTGTTAGTGTTCCGTAGGTGGGTACTATGGTATGATTTAAAGTGTCTTTAAAGACTGTGAGCAGCTTCTTGAGGGATTCCACATCGTGACAA